AATATATCAGTATGCCATTCATTAGCTATTAGTCTGGGCTCAAGAAACATCTTCTACAAAAAGCTGGAAAAGTTTCATAGACCAAATCTTTTACCATCTCAAAACATCCTACGAGCTTTTCAATTTCATTTAGGACAGTGACAGGTAGCTGTCTACAAAGCTGTCAGCAAACAGGCAAATGTGATTGTTTGTCCTCAGTGGATGTTCTTATGTGCTTTTCCATGCTTTGAGCATGCTAGGAAGCAAAATGACATTTTCCCATCACTTCAGCTACCTTTATTTTAGACAAAATTCTTGCACATAGAGCCAGTGAAAGCTTCAATGTATTTAGGCCAATTGAAACTTCCCCTCTTCCTGTCTGTCCCTTTCTTCTTCCATTAGCTAAACCATCTGCAGAGATCAAGAAACATAGCCTAAACTTCAGGTCAGCTGAACTCTTCTTAGAAGAGATGCAGTCATCATTTCACATTGACTAAAACTCATCAGCTGCCCTCCTCCTTGCACCTCCAGGGGGATGCTTAACAATTGCCCCAGCAGAGGCCACTTCACTTAAACTATTCTACTGCTAAAGACAGAGTTCTATTTAGAAACATGCACTGTTCTTTTACATAAATAGGAGAGCATGTAAAGCACACAGAAAGTTTGCTGGAGGCTGTTTGTGAGAGTTTTCCCATGTACCTATCTATAGTCTCCTCCTATGTGTTCTTTATTAAGCATTGGTGCATCAGAAACCCCAAGAAAGCAAACACGGGTTAATGGGTTCAATCTTAAACAGGGGAGATCTAGGTTAGGTATAAGGAAGAAATTCTTTACTGAGAGGGTGGTGAGGCCCTAACACAGGTTGCCCAGAGAAGCTGTGGCTGCCCCATTCCTGGCAGCGTTCAAGACCAGGTTGGACATAGGGGCATGGAGCAACCTGCTCTAGTGGAAGGTGTCCCTGCCCATGGCAGGGGGTCGGAACTGCATGATCCTAAGGTTTTTTCCAACCCAAACCATTCTGTGATTCTAAATCATAAGAGAAATCAGAAGTTAATACTGAAAAATTAACACTGGAAGTTGGAGCTCAGGCAGTGAAAGTAACAAAGTGTGGATACAGCATATGCCCAAATTACCTATAGAAGCAATAAGAGAGAAAAATCACTTACTAGAGGACGTGGCTTATATTTTTTAATGGAAGGCAAATGGTCCTTGTTCTCTGAACTGAACAGGCAAAATTAACTAATGCCAATCTAAGACTTTGAAAGTCTATTAACTTTCCACAGATGGGTAAGTCTTATTCTTAGCTATTAATTTCTTGCTCTCCAACCTGCAACAGCCAACCTGAACATCCAGTATAATTATTCAGAAGAGCAAGAAAAACAAGACAGCTCCAAGAACTGCATCATGAAGAAAAAGCAGATAATCAAATATACAGTGTGGTTAAACAAAGATGAAATTAGAGACAAGAAAGTTAGCAGTAAATATACAAATAATGCAGCTGTCAAGGAGGTAAAGACATGGAAAAGGCTGATATAAAATGAATATTAACATTTAAATAATAAGAAACTGTGCTATGATAACATTATTTACGGATTAGACATAGAGCAGATGACAAAGATTCCCTTACTAGAATACAGAGTGACCAAAACATTAAAAATACAGTTATAAAAGAAAATAAATCCTATAATAACCAAGGTGATGGATCACAAAGTGCATGTATTTGCAGGATTAAAAAAAAAAAAAAAAAAAAAACAAAAAATACAACACAAAAAACACAACACAGAAAGGCCAAACCCAAAACAAGAAAAAACACACAACCAAAGAAACCCACGCATCTTGCTTCATTTTCATTTACAGCACGTTTATCTTGCACGAATCACCTCAGTGCTACTTAAAAATTCCTCTGAAAGTCCAGAACAACCGTGTTTTGAATTTGATAGCATCTGCCAGCTCAGTCATCAAACATCATCCGAGTAACTCTTTTAGTTCAACTTTGCTCAGCCATACTGAAGCACTACAAAATTATTTTAGAGACTGTTCTTTAATAGCAATAAAAAAAAAAAAAATCCACAAAATAAATTTTTTTTGCAGAACTCAGACTGCTTCATAATGAAAAGCACAATGGACATTTTATGGAAAAATGTCCATAAACTTTTCAGGCTTTAGTGTTTTCCATTCTCAGTGTTGCTAGCCAAGAAGGAAGGGAAACCTGGCAGCCACTGAGGGCAGAGAACATACTTTGACAAAAAAGAAAAGCCTCCAAGGGACCATAAATGACCCCAGACTTCCCAAAGGTGACCTCTGGGGTGTCAGGTTCAATGCCACCTCTCTGTGTCAGGTTCAGTGATAAATGTGTTCCTTTAAAACCAGGAAAGCACATGCTAAGCCTGAAATGGGTAAACGTCGACAATTTAGGGAGGGAGAACCTCAACCTCCTGCCTCCTCGGCTCCCACATTTTTAACAAGCGGGTGTTTTGTGTCCCGAAATGTCAGGCAGCCGTTGGATCATTTGTTACTTGCAGGAACAGATGGACATATTTTCATCCACCACTAAGTGGTGCTGTTACTCTTGAAAAAGAGTTTCTCCGGCTCATCAAGTGTACTTGCAGACCAGGTATTTTTGGCAGTATCTACAGTTTTCAGTAGTGTTTCATCTTAGAAAAAGAAAAAAAAGAGCGGATTGAAAGCTAGGAGGCTTAGAGTTGCTTTAGCTTCCAATTTTTGCGGTAAACCTACTTACTAAATTTACTGTTCTTAGGATAATATTTATGTATCATCTAATCCAAGAATAAACATCTGCCTACCAATGACTATTTGGCAGTTCTTTTGGTATGAACTAATGCCATAACTGAGGTTGTAAAGAGTAAGTTTGTACATTACAAAAGATTACTCCATCACTGATACAGAGGAGGTCACCAAGATGATCAGAGGGCTGGAGCACCTCTCCTATGGAAACAGGCTGGGAAAGCTGGGGTGGTTTGGCCTGGAGAAACCTATTAAAAAAAAAAAAAAATCTTCCAGTCCCTAAAAGGGGGCCAACAAGAAATCCGGAGAGGGACTTTTTACCATGGCCTGTAGGGACAGGACAAGGGGGAATGGTTTTAACCTGGCAGAGTGGAGATTTAGATTAGACATTAGGCAGAAGTTCTTCCCTGTGAGGGTGCTGAGGTGCTGGCACAGGGTGCCCAGAGAAGCTGTGGCTGCCCCAGCCCTGGCAGTGTTCAAGGCCAGGTTGGACACAGGGGCTTGGAGCAACCTGCTCTAGTGGAAGGTGTCCCTGCCTGTGGCAGGGGGTTGGAAATAGATGAGTTTTGGGTCCCTTCCAACCCAAACCATTCTGTGATTCTATGATACATAGTGGGACCATCTCCATCTGCTTCGGCAGAGGCCGTGTTTTGGGGCATGACAACTGAAACAACCTCCCACCCTGCATGCATTACAGCAGCTTGTAGAAGATTTGAGACAGAAAGCAAGAACAGCATGCAGCAGGTTTACTACTGCCACCTCTATATATCACACAATCACATGTGAAATAAAGCAATGAGTTATGAAGCAGGACATTACCTCTACATGCCCACTATAAACTTCTGAAAAAAATCTGTTGCAACGTCACAGGAAATCCAACTATACCCAGAAGGGTTGGGCTGACACATATACTGATGTTGTTTTATCCAGAATTACTTTTACAGTGACAATTGGTGATGGAGACTTCCCTGACTAAAATAAACTAAGTGAGAAAGCAAAGGAAACTCCAGGAAGCAGTAACTAAACTGTGTTTTGTGTTCATAAAGTCTCATAAATGAAAATAGAAACTTGACATTTAAAAACAAAAGTATAAATTAAGCACTTTGCTCTCAGCCCTTTGAACTGTTCATTCACTGTCCCTCAGAATAAACCTTAGCTTTGGACATCCAAATAACTTCTGATATTGACAAGAAAGAAAAAGCAGCAATTTTAAGAAAAACAAACATACAAAACCCATGCAAATTCCGTTGCTTGCCCATACTTCAGTGCCGTGTAGTACTACTGCAACTCAGTAAAAAAGCAGTATTTCTTTGTACAATTCAGCATAAATAAAAATTAAATCAAGAAACAGTTCATGATGACAGTATATTAATGAGAGAAGCACACTGTCTTGATACCACAGTCCTTTAAAATGTATTCAAAAGAAGTTTCCTCTTCTAGTAAACTCCAGGTAAAGCAACTCCCCCATTTTTCAGCCTGGGCAGCCATAGAGCAGAAGTAGCAGCCCAATACAGAGAAGGGAAAGGAAAAAAGTACTTCATGAAGCACTTGCTCCATGCAATGTTAAGCCCTGCTGTTTGGCAAAGTGTGTTGTTTGTACAGCTTTCAGGAGCTCAGCTCTCCAGGAAGATCTGGGAGCTCCTGACTCAGAGGAGTTAGAGATTCACAGGAGCCATTTGTTGGGTTTTCACTGGGTGCACAAGACTGCTCCCCCCAGAGAGACTGGGATCTTAGGGAGCAGGGAGCACACCATGACTCTCTTGCTCTTTGCTTAGGTGACCATGACTGGTCCCACCTCTCCACCCTGCCTCAATTTCCTCACCTATAAAATGTGGGTGATGAAATAGTGCTTTTCACTCAAGAGCAGCATTCAAAACTGGGAAGGGTTCACTGCTATTTGGGATGTAGAGATGTCATAACTCGGCTCTGACTTGCTCACTCCCATGCTCATAGAAAAATAATGTGTCATAACCCATAAAACAATGAGTCATAACCCAGCTCTAACTTGTTTACTCCTTTGCTCATAGCAAAATAATGCAAGGAAGACTGATGCTTACAGTGAAGGAATTCAAGCAGTGTAGTATAGCGCTCCTCTCTCCTGTATTTTAATTGTAACATAACAATAGGTATTTTAATAAGCCTTTATTACTACAGAGCAAGGCTTGCAGCTCAAACTTTACTCAAGCTTTTGTCAGCATTTGGACACCCTTTAATCTTTTAAATTATTAAGTCTTACACGTATATAAAAAACCAAAAAACGTAACATTCCAGCTTACATTCTCTATGACAAACGTCCATTCTTTGTCTTCAAACTCTTCAGCATGGGGATCCTAGAAAAACAAACCAGAGAACTTAAGTCTAAAAGTAATCCAGGATGCAAGTAACTGCAACTCAGCCAAGATTTTCATATAGTCATAAAAATATTTTTGCCCATTGAAGATGACAGAGGGAATTATTTTAGCTAGGATGTAGGCTTCAGTGGATGTCAATAAGATGATGAGCAAGCTAGGGTAAAACTGCCAGTGAGGATTTAATAAAAACTCCTCCAGATACAAACACAAGGTTGATTCTGGTAAAAGGCCTGTGATTTTATTTCTTTTCATCCAAGAGCAAGAAAAAAAGCCCAAAAGATAAATCTCTTAAAATTCTTAAGTCCCACCTTCCATATAAACACAACAAATCTACATCTTGCTGGTGTGAGAAGGTATACACCGACCACAGGCATCACCCCCACCTCCTCATGCCCAGGCTCCATCAGCAACAGCAGAGATCCAAAAGCCAAAGCTTCAGCATAGCACCTCATTTGACTGTGAATTTCTAAAATACCCATCCTTACTTTGCAACATTTCTGTTGTATCACACGTGAGGAGCTTTTTCAATAACAGGAAGATAAATAACAATGAGATTTATATATTTGGCATTTGTTTCAATTTAATGAGCTTTCAGTCTGGTGGTGTGGTCTGTATTGCCTGAAATTAAGGTAACAGTGAAGACATTAAGTCAATTCCTTTCATGCCTCTATCAAAGATCCCACTTACAAAAATATACCGATTTATCACCCAATCCTAGTTCTGAGCAACTGTTACAAAATAACTTCTACTCCTCTTGCAAAACAGCTTCTCACACTGTGAGAATGTAGCATTAGGCTTTCTTCAGACATGAAGCCTAATTTTGTTATACCTCAATTTTATCCCATTATTTCTAGTTATAGGAAATCATCCAATTACTCCTTTGCCTCTGATGCTTGGCATGCTATACACACATGCACATAAATGCCACTTCCCCATAATCAGCATTTACCATCATTATATATGACACCCCTCAGCACCTGCAGTTTTCTTGCTATTATTTGGAGTCTGCTCACAATACTACACCAAGCACTGCAACAATCCCATTTTGCTGCTGTAAATTGACAAAATGGATCAAGATATTTTACTTTTGCTTTATCTCCATTAGTACCATCTTTCTTTCCAGACTGCTACAAGCCTCACGTTCAATCTTTTCAACTCGTATTATCTTAGTCTTTGCTTTAACCATTATTTCATTTAGTTTTGCCTCGAAGTCACACACACAGTGAGCAGAGGCAGTGTATCACAGTACTACAAGTGGTTCTTTTAACTAGTTCTCATCAAATGCACAAATACAAGATTTCATAACAAGTTTACAGCATCAACTTGTTATAAACCACAAACCAGTGAAAAGAATAACTTCCTTATTTTTCAAGCACACAAAAAACTTGGAAAACATGCTCTTAAACAAACCTCATGTTTAGATGAACTACTAAAACATTTCTAAGAGGATATTACAGAGTCAATTTAGATTAGACATTAGGAAAAACTTCTTCCGGGTGAGGGTGCTGAGGCGCTGGCACAAGTTGCCCAGAGAAGCTGTGGCTGCCCCATCCCTGGCAGTGTTCCAGGCCAGGTTGGACACAGGGGCTTGGAGTAACTTGCTCTAGTGGAAGGTGTCCCTGTCTGTGGCAGGCGGTTGGAACTTTAACGTCCTTTCCCACCCAAACCATTTTATGATTCTGTGGTATCATCCTCTTTCCTCCAGCACAGTCCTTCCCTCAAAATCCAGCAAAGTTGGGGTCACTGCTTTGCAGACCCCTTGTAAAACATTAGCTCTCTTTGCAGGGAGAGTCCTGCTGGACATCAACACGCTCACAGAAGAAATTCAACAACACATCATACTGCTGGTACCATAATTAGCTACGATATTTAACAGCTACAAGTGCCACATGCAATATGCATTTTAAAATGTATTAACTCCATCAATGGGATGTTTCAATGAAAAAAATATAAGATGTTTCTAAAAACTTATGTCAAAACTTATTTGTTTTGATATATAAATGTTTCTAGATTAAAAAATAAAAAACAAACAACCCAGAATAACTTAAATACTGTAAATGAGTGTAAAAAACATACTGTACCATTAGCCATAACGACAGATGGGCAAGTAGATACATGTGAAATTACAGAGTATCTCCGTGTTCCAACTAATGTACTTCTAATATCAGGTTATTATGTATCGATCACATTAATCAGGCTTCTGGAGTTCTGTATTATGTAAATAAAGTGCATGACACCTGCTGCTTTGCTGCGTTCTTTATAAATCCTAAAGACATAATCCAGCTATTAAATTCTTATCACTTTCAAGAGTTAACCTGGGGCAATTACCTTTTGTTTAATTGCTTCCTTTGATACAGCATAAAATGACATAATGAGATTTAACAGAATCATTAATCACTTTAAGTTTTAATAAATCACTCCATAGTAAGTGACTAAACTCTTAATTATTTCATCCTGCTCTGTTTTTTTCATAACTTGCCCAAAAGCTTAAAGCACGCTTGCAGGTTGATACAAAACTGCAAAGTCAGGGCCCAGTATTTTATCCCATGTAACAAATCAATTGTTTTGTTCATGCAAGGCAATAATCTATAAAGAAAAACACAGCTCCTCCGTCAATGGCAACAAAACTGATTCACACCTCTGAAGGCCACAGAATCAGGTGCTCTGCTGAGTATTCTGATAATCTGATAGAACAACATCTGCTGAAGCATAGGGAGGCTCTGCAGAGGGGTCTGGACAGGCTGGATCAATGGGCTGTGGCCAATGTTAGGAGGTTCAAGAAGGCAAATTGCCAGGTCCTGCATTTGGGCCACAACAACCCCATGGAATGCTACAGGATTGGGGAAGAGTGTCTGGAAAGCTGCTCATGGAAAAGGACCTGGGGGTGCTTACTGATGGATGCTGAACATGAGCCAGCTTGTGCCCAGGCAGCCAAGGCAGCCCACAGCCTCCTAGCCAGCTTGTGCCCAGGCAGCCAAGGCAGCCAACAGCATCCTGGCCTGTGTCAGCAACAGTGTGACCAACAGGGCCAGGGCAGTGATCATCCCCCTGTACTGGGCACTAGTGAGGCTGCACCTCGAATCCTGTATTCATTTCTGGGCCCCTCACTACAAGAGAGACATTGAGGTGCTGGAGCGGGTCCAGAGAAGGACAATGAAGATGGCAAAAGGTCTGGAGCACAAGTGTGATGAGGAACGTCTGAGGGACCTGAAAGGGTTTAGTCTGGAGAAGAGAAGGCTCAGTGGGGACCTTACTGCTCTCTACAACTGCCTGACAGGAGGATAGAGCCAGGAGGTGGCTGATCTCTTCTCCCAAGTAACAAGCAATAGGACAAGAGGTAACAGCCTCAAGCTGTGCCAGGGGAGGTTTAGATTGGATATTAGGAACAATTTTATCACAGAGAAGATGATCAGGCATTGGAAGAGGCTGCCCAGGGCAGTGGTGGAATCACCGTCCCTGGAAGTCTTCAAAAACCGTGTAGATGAGGCCCTTCATGGCATGGTTTAGTGGTGGACTTGGCAGTCCTGTGGTAACAGTTGGGCTTTATCTTAAAGGTCTTTTCTAATCCAGTTGATTCTGTGATTCTATGAAAATAATACTGCATAATGAAAAGACTTCTTAATATTCAACAATTCAGCATGCACTTGAAAGCAAGTTTTGAACACTGCTGAGAAATAAACACAAGTGTATTAATCCCAATCTCCCTACCAACCAGCTGACATAAAAAAAAAATCAAAATTCAAAGCTTCAAGGATTTCCCTAATGAACAGCCTTACCAAGAGTTCAGAGGGTATGGAATATGCTAAGATAGGGACACTTTGCATATATAAGGTATTTCAGATTTAGAGACAAATCCAGATTATTCTTTTTTTTAAAGCCACATTTCTTGTTAGTCTTAAAATGAATCTAGAAACAGAAAAGCCCAAAAAAGCTTATACACATAAGCCTCAGCATTTCCTTGCAACAGACACATAACTGGCTTCACTCTTCCCACTAAAACACTTTTAATGGAAGCTCAGGTAAGCTTTTAATGGAAGCAGGCATAGTCCTATTTCTAGCCAGCTTATAACTTTATGATGTGGTCAGCATTAACAGGTACTTGTATGATTATAGTTACAACACAGTTTCTATTGCAACCACCATTTCACCCTTTAGGCTAACATTTCCACAGGTGGTCTCCATAAAAAGTGATGTTTCTGTAAGTGTGGGTAATTTTTCATCTATTTTGGATTTGAAGAGGGTAAATACCAGTAAAAAAAACCCCTTAACAACATATATTTCCCTCACTGGCTAACCCATATTCTCCATTCATTTCCCACATAAAACTCATGATATGAATTGAGTACACCTGACTACTCTTTAGGGGAGGAAATGCCATTGCAAAGAATAACAACTCTAGGAGTAATGGTTACAGCAGCCTTTGAAATTTTCACCATAACAAAGCCCTCCCTGATAATATAGCACACAAAACTTCACCACACCTGCAGGCAGATACAAGTAATCACTGAAAATGCACTGCTAGAAACGCCTGAAAACAAGAGTTAAAAACAGACCTCGTTCCCATCTTCCTTCCTGAAAGCAAATGGTGATGAAAATTACCTAAAAAGCTCAAGGAACAAACTGTTTCCAGTATTTTTCTCATCCTGAAACTGTCTCATACCTTGCTGTTACACAAAGGGAGTTGGCAAGACCCATTTTTTCTTGATAATGCTATTTTCTTCACCAACATACCACAGATGCAGAACTAATACAATCTATCCAACACTCATTGTTGTTTCACCTTGACTTGGAAACTGTATTTGGACAAATGGACTGAATAGCTTGTTGTTCCTCCTCATTTTATTGTGTAAAAAAGAATCATCATTCTTAATATTAAGAGATGGGCCCCACTTTCCTGTTTCTCTTTCCATAAGCATTTGCCTCTGAGTATAACACTCCTTTCCAATAACTCAACTAAGTTTTAGCACCTTCTTTCCTCA